CACCGTATTTAGGTCAGGGTAATGGTGATAAAGAATGCATCTAACGTTCCGCTGTTCATTATAATACAAAAACAGAGCATTAAACAAACCATCATGCTCTTACTTTGAAATCATGCAGAAATGTCGTCAACAGCAGGCCATCACGTGGTTTCCGAAAATAACCGAGTGACACGAGTAGATTTTAGCCGAGACCGGCGGAAAATATGTCTCAAAATTCCGTGTGTGTAAAAAGACGATCCGCGAACAGAGATTTGAGATCCGTGAACAGAGATTTGAGATCCGCAAGCGCATTTTTGGTCCACAAATACAAAATGGATTCACAAATGCCTGATCGAAAGGTGTAAATGTTAAAGAGATATTCACAGATCTTTTTTTTATTTGTGAACATATTTAGCGTATTTGCAGATCCGTTTTACACTTGCAAATGTATTTGCAAATCTTTTAAATGCATTTGTGGATGTTGTTTTACATTTACAAATCACATATTTACACACAAATTATTTTTATGTTCACACAAATAATTATGAGACATATCTATGCCCATAAGGGGAGCACGTCTGTAACCCGACACCGTTGCAATGAATCGACATCTGACCAATCACGGCTTTGATACGGCCACTAGTGCAGGTGGAGAGATGTCGGTGAAAAGACAGTTTCAGTCCGGCGCAAGCTAGAGGGGAAAAAAACAAAACTTGAAGAAACTAGAGGAATTTTAGCGACGAAATTTTTTTTGGTGGATAAGCATGAATCGTTCTTTTTTATGAACTAAAGATTGTGTAGTTTCACTTCTGTGGAGCGGGATTTCTTTTCTAAAGGACTTTTTCGAGGTTCACCTTGCGGCCTAAATGGAGATGCAGTTATTTCCAGCATTCTTTATTTACCATTCATTCAAGTATGTGATGCCTTTTATCTGCTAATGTACAGGAGGAAGAGTGATAAACTGTCTGTCTAGTTGGCTTACATAACAGTTAAAGTTTACAGCCTAAAAACATGGAGCATTTTTTTTTTGGAATTCAAAAAATGATACTTGCCGTTCAAGTGTGCATTACAGCAAATGAAGCCTCAGCATGTGTGCAGCTACTCTCCTAATATCTACATTTGGAGTGGATACGATCATTTATAGTGCAACTGCATTCAGAAACAAATCCTGAACAGTTTATTGGTCCTTGCCGAGTTATGACGTATCAGACAGGGAGGGAGGTGCGTGGGTATTTTTGTTGGCGGTTCGTCAAGTAATTCCTTCCAGTCAACATCTTCATAATCTAGGTGTAAATATGATATGTGCCAACATAGCCGCGGGAAGTCATTTTGCTCAGGGGGTGCTGCCAAAAGTGAGGAGGGAGAGGCTTAAAAAAAAAAAAGGCCCAGCCGGGCCCAGCTGTCAGCGATACGAGCCGCATACATTGTTTGTTAAAGGCGAGACACGGCAGGCAAAAACATCGTTTTTCATGCACTGGTCAATTTTGAGATGTTGTACTATTTTGATTCCATAACATGTTTTCTTTCAGGCTTTTGGAAGTAAAACGTACAAAATACACATTTAAGTGTTCATTTTACTATAGTTGGTCTATTTGCGTCTGTATATTTCTCCTAAATTCACCAAAAGTTAGCATTCTAACGTAACATAAAGTACCGCGACCGCTGTTTGCACCATGTCATCGTTGGAAAGCTGAGTCTCTCCTGCACAATCTCATCAGATCCAAATATGGTCATTTCCTTTGTATCAGCAACCAATCGTGAAAGTACAAAAGGGTCTTAAACCAAGAAACGAAATCTCATTGGCTGGTGTCAACTTCTGACAACGTGATTCGTTCAGATGCATCACGTGATGTGCTAAAACACTTCCTGGTTAGCTTTCCGCTAGAAATGTAAATCTCAAAATGGCAAAGGAACGGCGAAAAAAACGTTCACAGAGAAGACAACAACAATTGTCACTTGCACGAAGCAAGGTTATACAAAACACAAATGACCCCGAACATGAAATACCTTCACGGAGTGCTTCGATAAGCAAGCTGTCATCCAAAGAACAGGAGGGTTTAGCTAGCGCCTCACTGCAATCTTTAAAGGTCCTTTTCTCAAAATGAGTTTTTTCTCCTACTCTGAGTTCGAAATGTCCACTTCAGTTGCACGTACATACACCAAACCTTCCAGTTATATTCCTATCAATATTATGAAGGCTTTTACAGAAGGGTTTGTTCATAGATCATTCATAGCCTGAATTATATAAGATGTTATACCTAGAAACATGGCGAAAATTGATATTTTAGGGCTGTTGACAGTATTTTCTGATTTATGGAGTGATAAAAAGAGATATCCAAAATCCCTTCTGTGAAAACCTTAGATGCTAATATGACTACAAAATGAAACGATAATTTTGAACCTGGCTTTATCCAAAGTTCAGATTTCGGTTCCTCAAATGTGTTAAAATATGCGCAAATTTAATGAGATAATGACTCATTTGCATATTCAGAAAACTTGTAATATAAGAAACAATTGCCTTATTGTAGGTAATTAACTGGAGAAATTACCCTATTCACCTGGGGTGTCTCGCCTTAACTTTAATAAACCATTATAGACCTTAGCAACAGCTGCACATGCCCACATGCTAACTATGAGTCTTACAAACCTACATAACATTACAAATAGTCAGAAAATATTATTTACAATATTAATAAAACTATGAATTCAATTTTAACTGATTGACAAGGCAAAACACTGCACAGCGGCAGCAGCATTAAAGGAAAAATATCGTCTTACCTTGTGTTGGGGCTTCACAAAACTCCAAATGTAGCCTGGGGTGGCACTAATGAAGACCCTCATTAGAGCAGATACATCCACATTGTCCAAAATGTTACTATGGACATGCATTAAAGTCAGATGTGTCAGTCTCTTCTGTGTCATATTACTCTAGTTGTAGAGGTGGTGGGCTGAGGAGTAGCTGGTGGTCCACTCTTTTTATTGGGTTGTTTGTTGGAGAAAAAAATCCAAAATCCTTTTTTGCGCCATTCTATAAAGTTGTCACTCTGCAGTGTGTGTGTCGCGTCAATTACGTCACTCTCCCACGACCTATGACCTAGATGACTCGGATTTTATTTATTTGGAAAATAAATTCAAGCCACCTGATATATACAAATATATACTATGACTATTATATGCTACTGTATACAGCTAATTTTATTTTAAGTAAAATCATAACTATTTTATGTAGTTTAATCATTTTTATTTAGGTGGTCACTCAGTTTTTCAAATGTACACCACTCGCCAACAGGGGGTGCTGCAGCACCCCCAGCACCCCTACTTCCCGCGGCTATGTGTGCCAAGTATGCTCTTGTTTTGGATCATTGTAAGGGAAACTTCTGTGTAGCAATGCAGTGGGAGTCACCGACTGATGGTTTATTTGGAGCTTCGGCCGGAGAATTCACATCACAAGTCACAGCAGCCACGATCTGACTGCACGGTAGAGTTGCCACGTCACTTCTGAAGAACTCTACCCAGACCACTGCGGTCAACTCAGCCGTCTCTCAAATTTGCTTGGTCAAATGAGCAGTTCTTCATTTTTTGAGTGCGCGATTTATAGCGCCTTTACGGTAATCGCTGAGAAGCGGCACTAACGCAAGAGTAAAAGAATGCATGTTTTTTCTGCTTCATGCGATACAAATGATTTTTACCATGAGTTCTTAAAAAAAAAAACACTGTTTGACTCAGTACAATAAAATGAAGTACTTTTACTGTCTTTTTTCTGGGTAATACTCGCAAATTCCCCTCCTGAGAACAAAATCATGCAACTTCTGCTATATTTGATGAGATAAAATGATTTTTAGCGATACATCCTTAATAAAAGTGATACTGTTGGACTCACTACTTGTTAGACTACTACCACAAGTACAATCAAGTACTTTTACTGTGTACTTTTGAGTAATCCCCTGTCAAACTCCCCTCCAGAGTACAATAATGCATGTTTTCTGCCCTCTTTGATGAGAGATAAAATGATTTTGTGCAATAAGTTCTTAAGGTAATTGGTACTGTTGGATTCAGTACTACTTGGACTACTACCAAAAGTACAATCAAGGACTTTTACTGTGTACCTTTTGAGTAATCCTTTGTCAAACTCCACCCCTGAGTACAATAATGCATGTTTTCTGCCATCTTTGATGAGAGATAAAAGGATTTTGTGCAATAAGTTCTTAATGTAATTGGAACTGTTGGATTCAGTGTTACTTGGACTACTACCAAAAGTACAATCAAGTACTTTTACTGTGTACTTTTTGAGTAATCCTTTGTCAAACTCCACCCCTGAGTACAATAATGCATGTTTTCTGCCCTCTTTGATGAGATAAAAGGATTTTTTGCAATAAGTTCTTAGTGAAATTGATACTGTTGAACTCAGTACTACTTGGACTAGAAGCACAAGTACAATCAAGTACTTTTACTGTGTACTTTTTGAGTAATCCTTTGTCAAACTCCACCCCTGAGTACAATAATGCAGGTTTTCTGCCATCTTTGATGAGAGATAAAATGATTTTGTGCAATAAGTTCTTAATGAAATTGGTACTGTTGGATTCAGTACTACTTGGACTAGAAGCACAAGTACAATCAAGTACTTTTACTGTGTACCTTTTTGAGTAATCCTTTGTCAAACTCCACCCCTGAGTACAATAATGCATGTTTTCTGCCATCTTTGATGAGAGATAAAATGATTTTGTGCAATAAGTTCTTAATGTAATTGGTACTGTTGGATTCAGTACTACTTGGACTACTACCAAAACTACTACGCTGCTTTTAATTGAACTATTCACATCTTAAACTGCACTGTAACTTTTATCCATGTATTTTTTCTTTTAATGTTTATTTTATTAGCTTTTCTTTTTAATGACTGATTTTAAATGCCATTTTCTTAATGTCTTTCATTTTTTGTAAAGCACTTTGAATTGCCTTGTGTTGAAAAGTGCTATATAAACTTGCCTTGCCTTGCCTTGCCTTGCCTAATAAATGCCACCACAATGTCCGAGCTGGATGAAGTTGTCACCAGTGCTGTGGTGGTATTCTCCAGCTCCCACAGTGACAGAAATGTTGGAAAACATTTTGAAAATCTCCAAGGACTACTGACAAATTCAGCGCAGTCAAACTTGGACGATTCAACCATTGTGGAAGACTGTGTGGTATGTAATAATTATGTGAATGTTGGAAGTTGTTTCATAGCTCAAAAATATCATTACAAATGATTTGTTTAACTTCAAGTACAACACAGCACAGAAAAGAGGACAGAGGCAGTGTGACCAGAAACAATGAAAAATATTAACATGGTTTACATATTTTTATATTACCCCAAGCTCAATGCAATGCAACTAAAGTTATTTGTGGATTGTTTTTTCTAGAATGATATCGGACCTACGCCCTTCAAACAGCATTTTGAGGACTTAATAACCCAAACAGTTATTGAGAAATCTGGTGATGACAACATGTACTTCTGCCCGACTTTCATCCCTTCCTTGCTTAAGTACTTTCTGCCCCTGGCTGGTCTGTGGTCTGGCCTACTCTTGGGTAAGTTTTATTTTGCACGTCTTTCTATAGCTGCTTGTTAATGTAATGTAATATAAAATAATAAGGCATGTTTACTGTTTGGTTAGGTGACCTTGGACGCCATGGAACAGGGACCATTTATCAGAAACGTTCCCAGAAGTACAAAAATGCTGCAAAAAAACCCACACAGGTACAAAAACCTAAAGCTTTGATGTAATATTGAATTTCAATGCATTATTCTATAATCAATATTATAAACTGCAATGTAAACAGTATGTAATCCAAGTGATTGTTAACAATATCATTTGATGTACCGTAACTAATATGTTCAACCGCAGAATTACACAGAGGACAACAAAACTCAAGGGATAATGGAAAAAAGCAAGTGGGACCTCAAAAAGATCCGTTTTCAACGGAGACGTCTGACCAGGCTGGACGATTTTGTACATACATACAAAGTCACCTTGAGCGCCCTGCTAAGGGAATATGGCGACTCTCTGAGGAGGGGGAAGAAGGTACAGTTTGTTATTTATATATTGCTGTTATGTTATCACATTTGTCCCTAGTCATTAAGCATTGCTATCGATTATGTTAGGAAAATATCACTCGCCACTGGCTTGAGTTTCAATAATCAGGATACATGTATTTATTATCCTTGCAAGAATGGAAGTATTCATCACGTCCAGAGCATTTGGTACAAATAGTTCACAGAGCAGTGTCCTTCACAAGCTTTATATATAAGAGACTTGTAGACAGACTTTTTACACCGTCACAAGATGGAGGAATACCGGTTCAAAGCAGTATACAATGTTTAGTTCAGATTAGCTAAGGCTCACGACAGAAATGATCATGCTTGTCATATGTCTATCTCCATAGAGGCTGAATCATCATGTTAATCACATAGCTATCATATGCCTCAAACAGTCCTGATTCTCTTCTTCACACATCCTGTCATGTACACAGCTACTTAGGGTCTTTGTCATCATGTGCTACTCTGATATTCAAAGAGTACATTCAGTATTTTCTCAACAGTTATTCTGCAGGTAATTTGGTCATTATTAACAGTTATATTAGGTGTGCTAATAATATCACAATAATATTGATACACCAATCAAAACTGTGATGCAACTATGCTGAATGTAGTTGGTTTCATAATTTTGATGAATAATAATTAATGAAATAATACATTTATTTCAGGCAAAGATAATGTTTGTTGTGAAAAGAAAACAACATTGAATAACGTGAAATGGCAGAATATGTAATGAAAGGTAATTTATGAGTGCATTTACCCTGTCAATATTCCTTATTAACTGCAGACCCATCGTGTGGACATGGAGCGATGGAAAAAAAGAAAGCAGAACAGGCGAGGAGTTTATGTGACACCCATAAACAAGCCTTTTGTTTTCAGACAGCACAAGAAGAATGTATGTATTTTTTGAGAGCAAACCATTGTTATCCTGTTTGTTGAAAATAACATAAATGTTATAATATTTGTGTTATTAACACTTTGTTTTTTATCAGCTCATGCAGAAGACAAAAACAGCAAAAGCTCCAGCTCCACTACAAAAACAAGCGCCAGGTGAAACGGAAGCACATATTCCATCACAGGTAATCCCATTTAGCATGGTTAAACAAAGCCAGGAAGCATTTGAAACACATACATCTAAACCAGCTTGGAATCTAAAGCTTAATGTTGCATTTTCTATTTCTATTAGTATACTGTAGGTAATGATAGAAGAACTGAAGATTCAAATTGTGTGATGAAGTGATTAACTATGACATGCACTTAACAACACATATTGGACAATGTGAAAGGCAATGTTGATGTTTCGGCTTCTATACAGGATCCAAAAGACAAGGCAAGACAAGGTCAATCTTCATCCACATCAGACATGACGGAGCATGCTGAGGATGATGCACAGGGAGGTAAAGTGGATGCTTCATCAGAGGTAAGAAACTGTAAGGACACATCATCAGGGAGTTCATCAGAGGGACCAGATAAAAATAGTAAAATAATTGATTAACTAAAAAGTTAAAATGCAGATTTTAATGTTTAAGGAATACTAAAGGAACGTTATAAAATAATACCTTTCAATTTACAATGTGTATCTCATGCTCTGTTAACAATCTAGCTTTGGGACATACAAATTATATAGTATTTTTTTTGTGACCCCCAGCTGACCGCGTTGTGGAAAAAAAAAGGACACTGACGTGGTGGTGTCTGTAGTCCCCACTCAAATAAGAGGCAACAGTTTTACCATCCGTCACTCTGACATGCGGACCCTTAGACCACACCAGTGGCTTACAGGCGAGGTATTTCATCCATATCATAGGACAGAACCAGTGCTCATACCAAGTCTCTTCACTACACATTAATCCAATATTCATGTAACGCTAGCTTCATGGCACACCACTGAAGTCTTGTTAGCACCCAAAGCCTAAAATGTATTAAACTGTTTTAAAAAGTGAATCTTAAAAGGCATCCACAGTTGAATATTTAACTTGTATTGTACACTAGAAGAAGTAGTCAAATGTGGTCATTCACTGTTATAATTTTCTGTTTTTATCAACGAAACTTAACACCTGTCAACTACATTATTATTTAATATAATTGTATTTCTTATTAATGTCTGCTTGTCGACATTCTCTCCAGATCATCGAGTGTCTTTTCCATATACATGCACATAAATGTGAACTGGGGACGAGGATTTATATTCTCAACCATTACTCAGCTGGTGTGATCCTCTTTGGGAAAAGAGAAGAGGTCAGGAAGCACACTTTGTCAAAGGTAACTTGTGTTTCTATTGAGGATAACTACAAAGGTTTTCATTATGTCTTTGTCTAAATATAAACATACTCTATCAAGCTATTTGACTCTACTGTATAAAGAAAACAAATACAGCCTGATGGGAAATGGAAGTTGTTTTGTTCGTATGTATTACGGATACACTTTGACAGCTATGGAGCCATTGTGTCCTTTGTACATGTTGATGGTGTACACTGGAAATGTCTGGTTAGTAGTGTCTATATCATATAATAGTATATTTCTTGATCAGCTACGTTTTGGGGGTGTTGTATTTATTTCAAATATATATATTTCTTTTTCTGTGTCCACAGTACATCAATGCTGAAGAAAGCACAGTGTATTTGGCAGATCCTGCACGCAACTCTGCAGAGCAGGCAGAGTCAGACAATGCTGCCAACAAATGCAGGTACTAACTGCATCCAATTTCACCTATTTTTCAAAAATATTTATTTCATTCTATTCCCTCATATATAATGTTTATATTTATTGTTATATTTATGTGGGAATAGATGGATCAGCTATATTGCCACAACCAGCCCTTTTTTTTTTAATTGATGTACTACTACACCAGAACATATAATGTGTGAAAAATGTGTGCATGTTTGACTTTGGTCCATACCGATTATACCATAAACACCCAATCCACTGAATAAACAACCTGTCCTTAGGCAAGGCAAGGCAAGTTTATTTATATAGCACTTTTCAACACAAGGCAATTCAAAGTGCTTTACAAAAAATGAAAGACATTAAGAAAAAGGCATTTAAAATCAGTCATTAAAAAGAAAAGCTAATAAAATAAACATTAAAAGAAAAAATACATGGATAAAAGTTTCAGTGCAGTCTAAGATATGAATAGTTCAATTAAACATTAAAATAAAAAGTACATGGATAAAAGTTACAGTGCAGTCTAAGATATGAATAGTTCAATTAAAAGCAGCGACAAAAAGAAAAGTTTTCAGCCTGGATTTAAAAGTAGTCAGAGTTACAGCGGACCTGCAGGTTTCTGGGAGTTTGTTCCAGATATTTGGAGCATAATAACTGAACGCTGATTCTCCATGTTTAGTTCTGACTCTGGGGACAGAAAGCTGACCAGTCCCTGAAGACCTGAGAGATCTGGATGGTTCATAATTTAGCAGGAGGTCAGAAATGTATTTTGGGCCTAAACCATTCAGTGCTTTATAAACCAGCAGCAGTATTTTGAAATCTATTCTTTGACACACAGGAAGCCAGTGTAAAGACTTCAGAACAGGAGTGATGTGATCCACTTTCTTAGAGTTAGTGAGGACTCGAGCAGCAGCGTTCTGAATCAGCTGCAGCTTCCTAATAGATTTTTTAGTGAGACCCGTGAAGACACCATTGCAGTAGTCGAGTCTACTGAAGATAAAAGCATGGACAAGTTTTTCCAAATCCTGCTGTGACATTAGTCTTTTAATCCTAGATATATTATTTAGGTGATAGTAGGCTGATTTAGTAACTGTTTTAATGTGACTGTTGAAACTCAGGTCATAGTCCATGACTACAACTAGATTTCTGGCTTTATCTGTTGTTTTGAACATTGCAGACTGAAGCTCAGCGCTAACCTTTATACGTTCTGACTTGGCTCCAAAAACCATTACCTCAGTTTTATCTTTGTTTAATTGGAGAAAGTTCTGACACATCCAGTCATTGATTTGTTCAATGCACTTACTCAGTGTTTGAATTGGAGCATAGTCTCCTGGTGAAATTGTTACGTAAATTTGTGTGTCATCTGCATAGCTATGGTCAGGGGTGCACATAACTGTTTTGCCCTGGTTCTCAAAGGAGCACCTGGAGATGTTGCTTGGTGCTCATCCTTAAAATGAAATAAACCGTAACTTTTGAGGGGGTCTTGACTTTATTTGCCAGACACACGGCACTGAACACACATGCAGAGGTGAACACAGAACACACATGCAGAGGTGAACACAAGACAACATTAGCACAAGCAGTAATCCTACAAGCTGTCATCACTACCCTCCTGACTGTTCTCCTCACTGTCTTCCTCTCTGTCAGACATGGTAGCTGATGATGTCGGCCTACTACTTTCTCTCTGGTTGAGTCTGCGATTAGATGCTTGCATCCACAAGTCAACAGCTGGTTTTGGGTCGAAAGTCTCTGTTGTCATCTTAGACAAGTGGATGTAATCAAATAAGTATGTGAACATAACCAATAACCTACCATAGCCAATAACAAATGAATGTAACTTATTTTATTTGTGTTGTTCATTCATATCTTATTTTACCTTAACATTTATTTATGCATTTTTTTTTATCTCTCCAGTTTTAAAGGATATTTTTGGTTACTGTCCTATAGTATACATTGGAATTATTTAAAACCTGTTTATCCCAATAATTATTAAGGAGTGCCTTGGAAATATGTGTTTACATAAATTGCGACCAAACCGTTTGAACTTAGACTAAAGTGAACTATCTAAACACTCAAGAGTCCTTTACCTCACTGAGCTGTAGTTATCAGTCTGGAGAGGACTCTCCCTCCACATTATTGTAGAAACATCTTCTTCTTATATCCGTTAGAGCAGCTAGCACAGCACCAGATTCTAATAACAACAGCGCTGGTACCGGTGCACCCTCCCTCGCTCACTCGCATTTTGGCTGTGAGCTGCGGGCGCCAGATAAGCCAACATCCCCCATTTTCATCACTTACAGCGCCCATTGTACAGGGCAAATGAAACGTGTAACCGGGGTGAAAAGGGTGTTACATTTACTTAATTGTGAATATTGCTACATCAAGGCCGAAAATTAGGATGAGCCCCAACGGTCAAAATGATTTTTCCCTCCCAGAACTGCCAGCGCAGCGCCTCCACAGATCTGGCGCCCTAGGCGAACATCTAGCCAGTGCTACGAGCCGACCCTGAGTTCATATCATGGTTCATACATGTATGCAACTCGCAAATATCTTTCTCTCTCTCTCTCTTCTCTCTCTCTCATCTCTCCTCTCTCCTCTATTTTCTCTTTTCTCTTCTCCCTTCTCTCTCTCCCTCTCTCAATGTTGGTACGCAAATGCGCTTTGTTTCAAATGACCCGGTGCTCTTTTTTTGGCGGAGGTGCGCATGCGCACCTGCGCACCAGTTATGTGCAGCCCTGGCTATGGTAACTTATTTTGTTGTTTTTCATTATCTGAGCCAGTGGAAGCATGTAGATGTTAAAGAGAAGCGGCCCCAAGATGGAGCCTTGAGGAACCCCACATGTCATATTTGTCAACTCAGATGTGTATTTACCTATAGAAACAAAGTTGTTTCTGTCCTTTAAGTAGGATTCAAACCAATTTAGAACTGTTTCCGAAAGTCCCACCCAGTTTTCCAGTCGGTCTAGTAATATGTTATGGTCAACAGTGTCAAACGCAGCACTGAGACCTTAGAGTGAACAATTGTCAATTCATTTTGACATCAGACTAGGTGTCTGCATGTTACATCTTAAAATATACATTTGGGAAACATGCATTAACATCACTTCAAATTGTGTTACTCGACTGCTGAGACACAGTGTGACAAGGATTTATGTTATTATGCGAGTATTGTATTTATACAGTATGCATTGTACATTAATAATATATCTTATCTCACGCAGTGATTACTTCAAAATGAGGAGGACCTGCTGCAGTAAGACAGACTGGGTAGACATAAAATGGAAGAGAGGAGTAATGAAACACCCAGTACAGCAGGATGGCAATAGCTGTGGGGTAGTTGTCTGCATGGTAAGTGGAATATTTATTTTCATATATGCTTTTTGCTAATATAACATTCATTCAGCTTTTAGGATTAAGTCTGTTTTACTGCCTTTCACAAAAACACATTTGGGGTAGTTGGATAGTTATTTTAAGAACATAACATGGTGTATCACTTTAAGATGGCAAAGGAGGTCATGGAAGTCTTTCCTAAAACACCAACAATGGCCTTTGGGACCACAAAAAAGGAGATGTTAAAGAAAAGTGTTGGCCATGGAAATACTGACAGCATCAGGTGCATGCTACTTTTTCAAAATATCAATTCAATTGTGATATTGTTGTACTTGAGATGTAACATTAGCATTTTTTTTTCATCAGTGTTTGACAAAGAAGTCAACTGTGCCATGTGCGCCGGCATAAAACCACCCGGCTCAGTGCCACATCACACCCACACTGACTGGGTAAGGTTTAATGAATATTGAGACTTCAGATATTTCACAATTTAGATTTGTAGAAAAGCATTAAATGAAAGCAGAAACTAAATACAAACACTTGAGGGATGCAGTTGACCATTGCTCAAAGCTGTTATAAGCAGGGCTTTACTCTCATTTGTCTCCACTCCTTCTATTGCAGATTCAGTGTGACAGCTGTTTCCGGTGGTGCCACACACAGTGCCTGCATATGGACCAAAAGTCTCTTGAAGAGGCACAAGTTGGGGACTGGGTTTGCTCTGTGTGACAAATAATGTTTGTGCATGAACATGCGGTTGCTGTATGTCCTATATTAACAAAAAAAAAGGCACCAGCTAGGGACTGGGACTCCAGACTTTTCCAAAAAGCAGGGGATGTGGTTGCTGTGAAATAGTTTATATTTATATGCTCAATTTGATATATTTAGAATATATATTTGAGATTTGTTTAACTAAGAAGTGACCGTTGAATAAATATTGCAAAACAAAGCCTATATCACATGGCAGCCAGTGTGAATTGTTTCCTACATTACAAGATTTCGATTTTCTATAGTACAAATCTGGGCCATTTGTTGTATAATTTCTCCAAACACATACAGTACAAATGCCTGTTTTGGAGTCTTCAAAAGGTGCAGTAGAAGGACTTTACATTTTGTGAAAGACAGGATAATATAAGGTGTTGTGATCATGGGGAATGAGCCTTGTACAGGGAAAGTGTGCTGGAGGCTGAAGACGTTGACTGGGACTGATGGATTGATGAGGCTGATGAGACTGAAGAATCTGCAAGGAAAGAACTAGGGGCAGAGAAATAATATATTATACATATATTAAAAGACATGCAGCGTCATAAGAGGCCAACAAGAGTGACAAGGGTGTGTCACTGTGCTGAAGGAAAGTTGTGAACAGCTATCCAGGCCAGTCTCTAAAGACTTTCCAAAGTGTAACAATGCTGTTGCTGGAGTACTGATCTAGTGGATCTAGTGTTCATATCATGTGTTTACCATATCCTGTTAAAATACTCTGTCCAACATAGTCAGTATTGTGAAGAACATTTTTCTAACGCTTATTATATATCAGAATCAGAAACATGTTTATTACCAGGTAGGTTTACACGTACGAGGAATTTGACGTGGTAAAAAAAGAATACATTATTGTATTCTGGAAGGGAGTTCAATCATTTTATCTCTCATCAAAGATGGCAGAAAACATGCATTATTGTACTCAGGGGCAGAGTTTGACAAAGGATTACTCAACAGGTACACAGTACTTGATTGTACTTTTGGTAGTAGTCCAAGTAGTACTGAATCCAACAGTACCAATTACATGAAGAATTTATTGCACAAAATCATTTTATCTCTCATCAAAGATGGCAGAAAACATGCATTATTGTACTCTGAAGGGGAGTTTGACAGGGGATTACTCAAAAAGTAAACAGTAAAAGTACTTGATTGTACTTGTGCTACTATTCCAAGTAGTACTGAATCCAACAGTACCAATCTCACTAATAAATTATTGCAAAAGATTATTTTATCTCTCATCAAAGATAGCAGAATACATTATTTTGTGTACTCAGGACAGGAGTTTAAACAAGTATTACTCAAAAAGTACACAGTAAAAGTGCTTGATTGTACTTGTGCTACTAGTCCACGTAGTACTGAATCCAACAGTACCAATCTCACTAATAACTTATTGCAAAAAATGATTGTATCTCTCATCAAAGAGGGCAGAAAACATGCATTATTGCACTCTGGAGGGGAGTTTGACAGAGTATTACTCAAATAGTACACAGTAAAAGTACTTGATTGTATTTGTGGTAGTAGTCTAACATGTACTGAGTCCAACAGTACCAATTTTATTAAGAACTTATGGCTAAAAATGATGTTATCCCTCATCAAATATCATTGATTGATTAAATATAGCATAAGCACCGGTACTACTGTCAGTGCCACTTCTCGGCGATTACCGTAAAGACGCTATTAATCACGCACTCAAAACTGAAGCGCTGCTCATTTGACCAAGCAAATGCGAGAGACGGCTGAGTTGACCGCAGTCCCAGACCCATGTGTAAGAGCCATTTGATTTAGGCACATTATTTTATGGTAATGAATTATGGTTTTGTGATCCAATTGAATATTCTTTAATTTAACTTAAATGAGCTGAATAACTATGAATTATTATTATATTGTTTTTGTAACGTGTCATCTTGCTTATGGACAGCTCTAGTTTATGTTTTGTTATTATTTATACAAAGCAATAGTAGGGGCGTGCTCAGGTATAAATGACGCTGCCAGCATGACACAGCAGGAAGTCTAGAGAGGCAGTTGAAAAAAGTTTTTGACCGCATACATCCGTATGACCGAGGGATCTTGTTTGTTTATTTGTTTAAATACCGTGCAAATGTTGCACGTCGGCAGTGGGCCGCCAGCTGATCTATTGAACCTCTCAATAAAGCACCTGAATGGAACAAGCAAGGTATCTGATTTTTTGAATATACGCGAGTCAATACTCGAGCTCGCCTCCTAGACTAAGTGGCCTTTGAGCATTAATTTTCTTTGGACAATTGGCCACTACATTAAGTCAAAAACTTACCGACAACGTCGTGAGGATTACTAGCGTGTAGGAACTTACTATCACTGGAATTGTCGGATGTGGATCTGATCGTGGCTACTGGAGCTGCGGCAGAAACAAAGTGGATCTGATCGTGGCTACTCGGGCAAAGGACCATTTGGATTATCCTCTACCGTGTGGACATGGACTGCAGGCTGTCACGCTACTCCAGGGCCGGACTGGGACAATAAGTCAGGCCGGGAATTATACACCCAGCCAGGGCACTAATGGCGCGTTTCCACTGCAGCGGGGTAGCCCCGTTTAAGCGTCCCTAAGCGTCCTCGCTCTGGCCTCGGGCTGCCTCGCTGGCCGGCCCAGGCCGTGGCGCATTTCCATTACAGTTTAGGACCTGGGCTAGCAACGCAGTGTAGGCGGGGCGATCAGCTTTGTTTTTGTTCACATTTCTCGTTGTTCCGTCGAGCTCCCGCTGGATTTTATCATCCCCAATGAGATGAAGGAACGTCGTCACCTCCTCGGTCGACCACGGTGTGCTTTTCTTAGAAGTAGCCATTTTTGTAGCTCCTCCGTTTACAAAATGCTGTGTATAAAAATGCTGCAAGCTTGCTTCTAGATATATATGCGACGCTAGGGATGAACTCGCGAGCAATCTTGTGACGATTCTCTCTGACCAATCAGCAGTCGAGAGTGTTGACGTCACTAGTTCAGCCCTGGCCCTGGTCTGAGGGAACCACGATTTTATGAGGCCGGAAAAAGAGGGGAAAAGTACCCGCTGGCCGGTGCTAGGCTATATGGAAACGCCACCAAAAACCGGCCTGGCCGCTTGAGGACGGTTAAGGACGCTTAAACGGGGCTACCCGCTGCAGTGGAAACGCGCCATAACAGTTTTCTTTTGTGCCATTTTCCTGGAATAATTTGTCAATATATACAGCGTTGCTGTGCAAATCTATTTAGGAACCTATCCATGTGAACATATTTTAAGTGGAGGTGGACCTGAAATCCTATAGTCCGGGGGCATGCTCCCCCGCTAAGATTTTTTTTTTTTTAAATGTTGGACTTAAATGCATCAATCTGGTGCATTTTGAGGGGAAAATAAAGAGACTACACCCATATGAAACAGAACTGTATACATTTAAATAATCATTAAATCATAAAAACATGGCCGTAACCAATAACATCCCATATCCAATATGAAAAAACATTGAAACTTGTTTATTTATTTATTTTTGGTTCATTTATAGTTGTGAGTGTGTCTGTGCTCCTGAACCAGCCTCTCCTGTCTCCCTCCTCTCCCCCCTGCTCCTCTTTGAGGCAGCAGCAAAGACTAGTTTTAGCTCTCAACAAGTTTTTATAGTTTATCTTACCTTTTTTCACCTAGTTAACTTTTTTTAAAATTATTATTCATGCATATTTTACTAATCACTCCCCCTTCAAATGGAAATATGTGTTTACATAAATGGTGACCAAACCGTTTGAGACCCACAGAGAACTTAGACTAAGTTAACTATCTAAACACTCAGAGAGACCTTTACCTCACCTGAGCTGTATCAGTCTCTCAGTCTGACTGGAGAGGACTCTCCCCCCACCTTGTTGACAGCTCATTATATCCGTTAGCGCAGCTAGCTAGCACCAGATGGTAACAACAACACTACACGTAACCGGTGCGCGCGCTTTCTTTCTCGCTCGCTCGCGCCACACACACACACCCTCCCGAGCTTGAATGACACACAGAGACCAATCGAGGGCATTAGTATGATCTGCATGAAAGTGGCCATGTCGGCAGGCCACATCATGTACAGCCAGTCACCAGGGTTGCCAACTCTCACGCATCTGGCGTGTGACACACGCTTTCACTCTCAATCTCACGCTCTCACGCTGCCCAAACTATTCTCACGCCAAAAACAAGAATACCGAAGACTAGAAATGGTTTTGAAAACTGTTGTCACGTAGTGATCGTCTTCTCAATAGAACATCTTTGATAATGTCTTCTGGCCAATCAGAATCAAGATAACGGCATGGTGTTGTTGCAGGAAGTCCCGACGGAGAATACTTTTGCTGTAGTAGGCCTACATCTCTATATACATCGATACAACATTACGTGTTGATAGAAATCAACACGTAATGAAATAAGACCCCACGGTTTGATGATTGATAGGTGTGTGGGCTGTCTTTCATTTTGACACACAGAACAATGGGGGCTATCCACCCTTATCCACAATGTAAAGTAATTCACACAGCCTCTTCCCTCTTCTCTCTGTGAGGAGCAGCAGGTTCAGCTTTCAGAACAAAGTAACACAAAACTTAAATGGCATTCATTTGTTGTCGTGTAGTGATAGATTTATTTATTTTTCTTCTCAAGAGAGTACCAGAATGTGTATTTTATGTTAGTATTTCAAAAGATCTCCTGGGGGAGAATCCCCCCAGACCCCCCTGCAGGGGTTGGGTTTTCAGCATGTCAACTCTTTCACCTGTGGGGAAATTGCAGGATTGGCTCCAGGTCGCCCTTTTTATTTACTACAAGACAAATGTGCCTTTTTATTTCATACAGTTCAATTTGGATTGAGACAGGGAAATAATCTAAACCTCACGCGTGGCGTTTCACTGTCAAGGGGAGCGTGTATGTAATTACATTGCAAAAACTGACTTGAGCCCCACCACTGTATGGGTTAGCCCCAGGGGCGGCGCCAGGGGGGAGCTAGGGGGTGCTGAAGCACCCCCCAGGGTTGCCAAAGCACCCCCAAGAAATGTGTTTTTTTTCCCCCGAAAATAATAATAATAATTTTTATTAAATTAAATTAGAAATATTATTGATTACTTCAATGCAAATGTGAAACAAACACATTTTTGACCAAAAACATAAAGCCAACACAGGTGATATGATTAGGCCAATGGCCAGCACCGATTCGATTTTTGACCTACCCATAGGCTAAATGACTTTGTGACACTTGAGTGACTTCCTGTTAGCTAGAGCGCCAACTTATTTGCTAACAGCAAAGTGAAAAATTGATCGTTTTTTAGTCCTTAAACGTCCACGTGTGGACACTCAATCAAAACCACCTGAAAGCGAGAGGAATTCTGCACATAATAGCATAGCCTCGTGAGTACAAGTAGCTTACTTCTGGGTCTCTGTGTTTCATTCAAGCTCTGCTCTGTGTGTGTGTGGCACGAGCCATTTTGGGTGCGTGCGCGAGCGAGCGAGAGAGCTCACGCACCGGTGGGTAGGCCTATCTACTGGAGATCGTTGTGGTTAGCATCTGGTGCTAGCTAGCCAAGCTAACGGATATAAGGAGATTTTTTAACAACAAGGTGGAGGGAGAACTCTCTCCTGTCAGACTGAGAGTCTCAGATAACCTCAGCTCAGGTGAAGTAAAGGGCTCTCAGTGTTTAGATAGTTGTCTAGTTATCTCAGTGGGTCTCAAACGGTTTGTTTTAAAAGGGGAGTTGTAAAATATCTATAAAGAAATAGAAAATCTGTTTACAGTTCTGTTTCATCTGGGTGTTGAGAGATGTATCCATAGATCTCTTCACGTTGCTCTCAAAGTGCACCAGATTGATGCTTTTAACTTCAATATGTAAAAAAACCTTCCCGGGGAAGCATGCCCCCGGACCCCATTAGAGGAGGTGAGGTCCCTCTTAGAGGACGTGAGGTCCACTCACCACTTGTAAAAATAGCACTTTAGCCCTGCTTACACCTACAGTATATGCCGTGAGCTGATTATCGAGCCTTCATTGTAACAGTCGAGGGTGCACTGTGTGTGTGTGAGGAGTGTTGCAGTAGAAAATTCAACTGTAGCGCTGGTAATGTTTGAGCACCCTCTATGAAACGTAAAGCTACCCCACAGCACCCCCTTAATCTCTGGCGCCGCCACTGGTTAGCCCTACCATAGATTACCCAACACAAATACTCTCTCGCAACTGCCGACCCGTATTGCGCATGCGCAGATCAAAGATCCAGTAGAAATGAAAAAAAGTAAAAGTCTGCTGCTTATTGTTCTACTAGGCCAAATTAGAGTCAAAGAGTATATGTATATGTGTTATGTGTTAGTATATGTATGTGTGTTAATTAATATGTTTGGCAGTTTGGAGTAAGTCTGTAGATTTCTTTGTGTGTGTGTGTTTCATGTATAGGCCTCTCACGATAATTAATTTTGTTGGATACATTTTCCCGGAAATTATTGCGATAACCGATAATATTGTCGGCACCGTTGTATGACCATTTTAGACCACTGACATAATGATAATATATAATAATAATTCAAGTACATCCTTTCAAACTGCTAGTCACATCCTCATGTAAATGGCAATTTATCGAGTTCATTTTTATTTATCGTATGATAAGTCAATTAATTGCTTATCGCGACAGGCCTATGCACACAATAAAACAGTGGAAACAAACATGTGTTTGACTTTCATTAGTGAATTAAACTGTGTGTCCTTTATAGTCTGTGTCCAATTTTGTGTATTTGTAAATATTGTATATATATCCTATATATATGCTATGGTCCCGCTGCTGACACGATAGCAGTCATTTCGTGCGCATATGTGTAATTAAACCCATGATATCAAAATCTCACTCCAGCCAGGTACCCAAAGTTGTCAACCCTGAGCTAACGTAAGCCTACTACTTGTGCACCCCCTCTAACCTTAGAGTCATTTTGTTCTGGAACCGGGCCAGCAAAGCACACTGTGTTTGTTAGTGAATCATACGGCACTTGTAAAACTTGTTTATCTTGTTTGTGGAGTTATGACATTAGCTCCAGAGTTATGGTCGGGGGGACTTGGCACATATTGAATGCTGTTTTTGTCATGATTGAGGCGAGGCGAGGCAAACTTTGCAACACAAGGCAATTCAAAGTGCTTTACGAAAATGAAAAACATTAAGAGCATAAAACACATTAGAAACATTAAAAGATAAAACATGAATAACGCATGTGAATAGTTCAATTAAAAGCAGCGGCAAAAATAAAAGTCTTCAGTCTGGATTTAAAAGTAGTAAGAGTTTGTTTGTTTGTTTGTAGCCTTTATTTAACCAGGTAAAATCCCATTGAGATCAACGATCTTTTTCAAGGTAGACCTGCAGCACATTGGTTACACAGAAAAACAACAGAAAACAAAAAGGACAACATAATTACAGGGGAACAAGAGTTGCAGTGGATCTGCAGGTTTCTGGTAGTTACATTCCAGATATTTGGCTATATCCCTAACCCAATTCTCACATTCCTCTACCCCTAGTCTTCCCGTGAAAGTATAGTTATTTTGACACTTTTCTAACCTTTTCATATTCCTTTCATCTTTCTCTTTCATCCATTTTGCATCTCCAGACAACAGATTTTCCCCTGTGTTACTGTTACCCGAATACATCTTTGACCTTTAAACCACTTTTCTTTTCAATTCCCAGAATTAGGATTATTAAACCTGTTTTAAGACTTCCCTCATGATCAACATCCCAGTGTATAAGAGTCAGATATTCATAATAATCATACTAAAATGTGTAACAGCTCAACATATGGCTCTTGAGGAATGATAATAGGCTACAGTTTTGATCCAAGTGCAGAGGGTTCTTGCCTTCCTACAATGTTGACCTCGACAAAGAGGCCAGCCACACAAATCGGTTCTGGCCCAGGAAAGGTAAACTACTATGTAATCCACTAATATTTCCTTCCGAAAAGAGGCTGTATGTTAATGTTTGACTATGCAACTTGGCCTTGATAAATAAAGATGGAAGGACAACAAATTAAAGCTAACTTAATACAGGGGTCAGAGAGGGCTGGCCAGGAGGCTGAGAGGAAACCCTCGTCCCCTGCAGAGGGACCGACAGGATAACAGAGAGCCCTGCTGGAGCCAGATGAAGGAGGATAAAGGTCCCTGGTTTGGATTTATGTGACAGGTGTCATGACAGTGTTTGATGAAGAAGATGGAAACAAAAGGAGTATGATAAAAAAGAAAACAGGAGCTCTTTGGAGTAGCGAGTGTTTGCAGTTAAATAGGATTTAAATTATGTTTTCTGTGTCACTGTTCACTGCTAACGGCTTTAAATAGCACAATGAGTTGTAATTTGAAGCAGTGGTGCTTTGAGCTACATGAGCTTTGAGTTTATGCCAACGTCAGCATGTTAAAATGTTAGGAATGAAATGCTAACATGCTAATGTTCAGAAGGTATAATGTTTACCATGCTAGTTTTGTTAAGCGTGTTAGCATGCTAATATTTGCTGAAGAGCAATAATCTGTTTAGTGGTTCTTGGGTGCCCTGCTCCCTGTTGTGACAATGCCTGGGGTAGTAGAGATATATATATATTGGTCATTAAACATGAAGTAGCTAGATAGCAGTCATGCTAAAACGAACTTTTATAATGTTGTGAACATTAGCTACTATAGCTTTTTCAGAAATCAAATGGATCATCTGTAAAGATAAGTGTGCTTCTTTTAAGATTTTACACTGTAACATCTGAACCATAAATGCCTATCAAGGACTGGTGTTAGAAATTAGCATTATCTTTACAACTTACACGTGTCGCCTTATAGTGTATCAGACACTGCTGTAGCCAACTTTGCCCTTACAATTAAACAGACATATTATTATCCCGTGATAATCTATTGATGGTTGATGGTCAATTGATATGAAAATATTGTTATATTACGCTATAGGTCATTATTATTATAGAGTTTGTTTCTCTATGTGTATCTATGAGTATTGAAAAACACAATATATCAGCAGCTTTCATGTAGGCTACAGAGTTCTTTTTTTATCAACTAGTACATTTTTCAAAAAATGACAAGAGCATGATGTGTACAAATGCTATGCCGGAAAAACAATTAAAGTTACATTTCATCAAGCTTTTATATGGTGCAGGAGTTTGTGAAATCATTTTTCTTCATTACACGTACTGTATATGCTCATACATATATAGAAATCAAGAAGCTATGAGCATGTCAGCTGTTTAATTAGCATAAGTAGCAACATAATGTAAATTTGTGTTGTTGCTCATATGTGTTTGGAAATAATTTGAAAGTGTTTAAGTAGGAATAGTCAAGTTCTCTCAACCCATACATTCATCAGAACAAAGATTTAACTATAAAATATGTTTCCAGCTAAATAAAGAACAGCACTTCAGCAAGCAAAAGTGCAAATGTGCAGATTTGTGATGTTAAAATGTTGCACCGCAGAACAGACGAATTACATTCTGAAATAAACCATAATTTTCATACATAGGTTTGGCCAAGTTGTTGGTTAAATGGTAGCATCTCCTCAGGCAAGCTCTACTTGTCAGTGATCAGTGTGAGTAGCAGATGTATCAACTTGACCCGAACACCACTGACTGCACGTAGTAACTGTACATCCCAGAAATCTGAATGATGGCTTCACCGCCAGACAATTCCCTCTCCTGTAGCTGGCCGGATGTCGTACCCGAAACTGAAGACCAGGTGAAGCCGTAGCAGAACTGGAAGCTGATGAATGAAGTGTAACAATGCTCAGTTTAAAGTCCTGCATTCAAAGTACGAAAGCATCGACATCAAAACATACTTAAAGTAGCACAGGTAAAAAAACTCATTATGCAACATGTTCCATTTCAGAATCATACAAATATAATATAAAATAAACATTGATCGTATTTTAGTTATTGATGCATTACTTCAATATGGCACTTGGCAAAAGTGTGACTTATTTGAATTACTTTACATTCTACTGAGTTGCCTAACCTTTAATAAAATTGTTTTATTTTTTGTAACATTGAACTAAATCTGCAATGGTTGCTAGTTATTGATGCAGTACAATATATGCAACATAAATGGGAAAATACTACATTTTTAAATTACAAAAGTACAAGTACCTTATGTTATCAGGTTTGATCTGGTACTAAATTAAACAGGAACAAATTGTACTCAAAAGTGAACTTCAAATGTTTAGTGGTCATATTATTGCAATAAATACCTGCAACCAGTGGATCAAAACTATAACATCTGATGGTGTCTTTTACCCAGTGTTACATTATTTTTAATTTAAAAAATGCTCTTCAGTCCTACCAAAAGAATGATCTATAACATTTACCCTCGTATGTAGGACGACTCCCACACTCGTACAGCTGTGATTCTTCCCTCCCCAATTATACTGAACGGAGAGCCACTCCCTGACCCCGCAGGAGGGGAGTAGGAATAGCTCTGAGTCTCAGCTGCGACAAGGAGACAGACAAACATATTATGAACATGAATTATCCTTATAAATTTGATTCATGAAGGATAATGTACTCATGGAAACTTACGGTCAGCTATAGCAGAGGCTGCAATAACAGCGAAGATAGCAAGAAAAAGCATTCTGAAAAGAAAGAGAAGAGTTATTTACCCTGCATCTCGTTGTTAATAATTATTATTGACTATAGACGGAGTCTCACCTGTCTGATTTGTTGTTTCTTCTATTATCAAAAGATACCTGTAGCCGATAATACAGAAATATAAATACATCTGTTCAGTCATTCTTGTTTACTTACATAATACATTTGGTTAGTGATGAGTGGAATTCAAAAAATGATACTTGCCGTTCAAGTGTGCATTACAGCAAATGAAGCCTCAGCATGTGTGCAGCTACACTCAGGGCCGCCCCTCCCTACAGGCCAATCACGCAGGCTGCATGGGGCCCCGCCTTGCGCAGGGGGCCCCGCCCAGAGGGCCTCAGCTGCTGTGCGCAGTTCTCCGCGCACCCCCGGCTGACACGCGAGAGTGAGGTGACAAGGGGATATGGGCATAGATATGTCTCATAATTATTTGTGTGAACATAAAAATAATTTGTGTGTAAATATGTGATTTGTAAATGTAAAACAACATCCACAAATGCATTTAAAAGATTTGCAAACTCACAAATACATTTGCAAGTGTAAAACGGATCTGCAAATACGCTAAATATGTTCACAAATAAAAAAAAGATCTGTGAATATCTCTTTAACATTTACACCTTTCGATCAGGCATTTGTGAATCCATTTTGTATTTGTGGACCAAAAATGCGCTTGCGGTTCTCAAATCTCTGTTCACGGATCTCAAATCTCTGTTCGCGGATCGTCTTTTTACACACACGGAATTTTGAGACATATTTTCCGCCGGTCCTCGGCTAAAATCTACTCGTGTCACTCGGTTATTTTCGGAAACCACGTGATGGCCCGCTGTTGACGACATTTCCGCATGATTTCAAAGTAAGAGCATGATGGTTTGTTTAATGCTCTGTTTTTGTATTATAATGAACAGCGGAACGTTAGATGCATTCTTCATCACCATCATCATCATGTTATAGTGATACAGTTAGTTTGTGTTATTGGTTCAATATAGCATATATCGAGCACTTTCGTTGATGTTGAAGTGCAGGCTATACGCCACTTTCGGGTCCCGGGGGAGCAGCTGGCAGCGAAGCAGCCCAGATAAAACTCTTTCTTCATTGTTTGTTGTGTATTCAGTCAAGCGGGTCGAAGTTAGCAAAGCACTTCACATCTTATTAATCGGCCTAATTGTACCTTACCAGTGCAGTAATAAAGTAATCTGTAGAAAAGCACCGTATTTAGGTCAGGGTAATGGTGATAAAGAATGCATCTAACGTTCCGCTGTTCATTATAATACAAAAACAGAGCATTAAACAAACCATCATGCTCTTACTTTGAAATCATGCAGAAATGTCGTCAACAGCAGGCCATCACGTGGTTTCCGAAAATAACCGAGTGACACGAGTAGATTTTAGCCGAGACCGGCGGAAAATATGTCTCAAAATTCCGTGTGTGTAAAAAGACGATCCGCGAACAGAGATTTGAGATCCGTGAACAGAGATTTGAGATCCGCAAGCGCATTTTTGGTCCACAAATACAAAATGGATTCACAAATGCCTGATCGAAAGGTGTAAATGTTAAAGAGATATTCACAGATCTTTTTTTTATTTGTGAACATATTTAGCGTATTTGCAGATCCGTTTTACACTTGCAAATGTATTTGCAAATCTTTTAAATGCATTTGTGGATGTTGTTTTACATTTACAAATCACATATTTACACACAAATTATTTTTATGTTCACACAAATAATTATGAGACATATCTATGCCCATAAGGGGAGCACGTCTGTAACCCGACAACCGTTGCAATGAATCGACATCTGACCAATCACGGCTTTGATACGGCCACTAGTGCAGGTGGAGAGATGTCGGTGAAAAGACAGTTTCAGTCCGGCGCAAGCTAGAGGGGAAAAAAACAAAACTTGAAGAAACTAGAGGAATTTTAGCGACGAAATTTTTTTTGGTGGATAAGCATGAATCGTTCTTTTTTATGAACTAAAGATTGTGTAGTTTCACTTCTGTGGAGCGGGATTTCTTTTCTAAAGGACTTTTTCGAGGTTCACCTTGCGGCCTAAATGGAGATGCAGTTATTTCCAGCATTCTTTATTTACCATTCATTCAAGTATGTGATGCCTTTTATCTGCTAATGTACAGGAGGAAGAGTGATAAACTGTCTGTCTAGTTGGCTTACATAACAGTTAAAGTTTACAGCCTAAAAACATGGAGCATTTTTTTTTTGGAATTCAAAAAATGATACTTGCCGTTCAAGTGTGCATTACAGCAAATGAAGCCTCAGCATGTGTGCAGCTACTCTCCTAATATCTACATTTGGAGTGGATACGATCATTTATAGTGCAACTGCATTCAGAAACAAATCCTGAACAGTTTATTGGTCCTTGCCGAGTTATGACGTATCAGACAGGGAGGGAGGTGCGTGGGTATTTTTGTTGGCGGTTCGTCAAGTAATTCCTTCCAGTCAACATCTTCATAATCTAGGTGTAAATATGATATGTGCCAACATAGCCGCGGGAAGTCATTTTGCTCAGGGGGTGCTGCCAAAAGTGAGGAGGGAGAGGCTTAAAAAAAAAAAAAGGCCCAGCCGGGCCCAGCTGTCAGCGATACGAGCCGCATACATTGTTTGTTAAAGGCGAGACACGGCAGGCAAAAAACATCGTTTTTCATGCACTGGTCAATTTTGAGATGTTGTACTATTTTGATTCCATAACATGTTTTCTTTCAGGCTTTTGGAAGTAAAACGTACAAAATACACATTTAAGTGTTCATTTTACTATAGTTGGTCTATTTGCGTCTGTATATTTCTCCTAAATTCACCAAAAGTTAGCATTCTAACGTAACATAAAGTACCCGCGACCGCTGTTTGCACCATGTCATCGTTGGAAAGCTGAGTCTCTCCTGCACAATCTCATCAGATCCAAATATGGTCATTTCCTTTGTATCAGCAACCAATCGTGAAAGTACAAAAGGGTCTTAAACCAAGAAACGAAATCTCATTGGCTGGTGTCAACTTCTGACAACGTGATTCGTTCAGATGCAGTCACGTGATGTGCTAAAACACTTCCTGGTTAGCTTTCCGCTAGAAATGTAAATCTCAAAATGGCAAAGGAACGGCGAAAAAAAACGTTCACAGAGAAGACAACAACAATTGTCACTTGCACGAAGCAAGGTTATACAAAACACAAATGACCCCGAACATGAAATACCTTCACGGAGTGCTTCGATAAGCAAGCTGTCATCCAAAGAACAGGAGGGTTTAGCTAGCGCCTCACTGCAATCTTTAAAGGTCCTTTTCTCAAAATGAGTTTTTTCTCCTACTCTGAGTTCGAAATGTCCACTTCAGTTGCACGTACATACACCAAACCTTCCAGTTATATTCCTATCAATATTATGAAGGCTTTTACAGAAGGGTTTGTTCATAGATCATTCATAGCCTGAATTATATAAGATGTTATACCTAGAAACATGGCGAAAATTGATATTTTAGGGCTGTTGACAGTATTTTCTGATTTATGGAGTGATAAAAAGAGATATCCAAAATCCCTTCTGTGAAAACCTTAGATGCTAATATGACTACAAAATGAAACGATAATTTTGAACCTGGCTTTATCCAAAGTTCAGATTTCGGTTCCTCAAATGTGTTAAAATATGCGCAAATTTAATGAGATAATGACTCATTTGCATATTCAGAAAACTTGTAATATAAGAAACAATTGCCTTATTGTAGGTAATTAACTGGAGAAATTACCCTATTCACCTGGGGTGTCTCGCCTTAACTTTAATAAACCATTATAGACCTTAGCAACAGCTGCACATGCCCACATGCTAACTATGAGTCTTACAAACCTACATAACATTACAAATAGTCAGAAAATATTATTTACAATATTAATAAAACTATGAATTCAATTTTAACTGATTGACAAGGCAAAACACTGCACAGCGGCAGCAGCATTAAAGGAAAAATATCGTCTTACCTTGTGTTGGGGCTTCACAAAACTCCAAATGTAGCCTGGGGTGTCACTAATGAAGACCCTCATTAGAGCAGATACATCCACATTGTCCAAAATGTTACTATGGACATGCATTAAAGTCAGATGTGTCAGTCTCTTCTGTGTCATATTACTCTAGTTGTAGAGGTGGTGGGCTGAGGAGTAGCTGGTGGTCCACTCTTTTTATTGGGTTGTTTGTTGGAGAAAAAAATCCAAAATCCTTTTTTGCGCCATTCTATAAAGTTGTCACTCTGCAGTGTGTGTGTCGCGTCAATTACGTCACTCTCCCACGACCTATGACCTAGATGACTCGGATTTTATTTATTTGGAAAATAAATTCAAGCCACCTGATATATACAAATATATACTATGACTATTATATGCTACTGTATACAGCTAATTTTATTTTAAGTAAAATCATAACTATTTTATGTAGTTTAATCATTTTTATTTAGGTGGTCACTCAGTTTTTCAAATGTACACCACTCGCCAACAGGGGGTGCTGCAGCACCCCCAGCACCCCTACTTCCCGCGGCTATGTGTGCCAAGTATGCTCTTGTTTTGGATCATTGTAAGGGAAACTTCTGTGTAGCAATGCAGTGGGAGTCACCGACTGATGGTTTATTTGGAGCTTCGGCCGGAGAATTCACATCACAAGTCACAGCAGCCACGATCTGACTGCACGGTAGAGTTGCCACGTCACTTCTGAAGAACTCTACCCAGACCACTGCGGTCAACTCAGCCGTCTCTCAAATTTGCTTGGTCAAATGAGCAGTTCTTCATTTTTTGAGTGCGCGATTTATAGCGCCTTTACGGTAATCGCTGAGAAGCGGCACTAACGCAAGAGTAAAAGAATGCATGTTTTTTCTGCTTCATGCGATACAAATGATTTTTACCATGAGTTCTTAAAAAAAAAAACACTGTTTGACTCAGTACAATAAAATGAAGTACTTTTACTGTCTTTTTTCTGGGTAATACTCGCAAATTCCCCTCCTGAGAACAAAATCATGCAACTTCTGCTATATTTGATGAGATAAAATGATTTTTAGCGATACATCCTTAATAAAAGTGATACTGTTGGACTCACTACTTGTTAGACTACTACCACAAGTACAATCAAGTACTTTTACTGTGTACTTTTGAGTAATCCCCTGTCAAACTCCCCTCCAGAGTACAATAATGCATGTTTTCTGCCCTCTTTGATGAGAGATAAAATGATTTTGTGCAATAAGTTCTTAAGGTACTTGGTACTGTTGGATTCAGTACTACTTGGACTACTACCAAAAGTACAATCAAGGACTTTTACTGTGTACCTTTTGAGTAATCCTTTGTCAAACTCCACCCCTGAGTACAATAATGCATGTTTTCTGCCATCTTTGATGAGAGATAAAAGGATTTTGTGCAATAAGTTCTTAATGTAATTGGAACTGTTGGATTCAGTGTTACTTGGACTACTACCAAAAGTACAATCAAGTACTTTTACTGTGTACTTTTTGAGTAATCCTTTGTCAAACTCCACCCCTGAGTACAATAATGCATGTTTTCTGCCCTCTTTGATGAGATAAAAGGATTTTTTTGCAATAAGTTCTTAGTGAAATTGATACTGTTGAACTCAGTACTACTTGGACTAGAAGCACAAGTACAATCAAGTACTTTTACTGTGTACTTTTTGAGTAATCCTTTGTCAAACTCCACCCCTGAGTACAATAATGCAGGTTTTCTGCCATCTTTGATGAGAGATAAAATGATTTTGTGCAATAAGTTCTTAATGAAATTGGTACTGTTGGATTCAGTACTACTTGGACTAGAAGCACAAGTACAATCAAGTACTTTTACTGTGTACCTTTTTGAGTAATCCTTTGTCAAACTCCACCCCTGAGTACAATAATGCATGTTTTCTGCCATCTTTGATGAGAGATAAAATGATTTTGTGCAATAAGTTCTTAATGTAATTGGTACTGTTGGATTCAGTACTACTTGGACTACTACCAAAACTACTACGCTGCTTTTAATTGAACTATTCACATCTTAAACTGCACTGTAACTTTTATCCATGTATTTTTTCTTTTAATGTTTATTTTATTAGCTTTTCTTTTTAATGACTGATTTTAAATGCCATTTTCTTAATGTCTTTCATTTTTTGTAAAGCACTTTGAATTGCCTTGTGTTGAAAAGTGCTATATAAACTTGCCTTGCCTTGCCTTGCCTTGCCTAATAAATGCCACCACAATGTCCGAGCTGGATGAAGTTGTCACCAGTGCTGTGGTGGTATTCTCCAGCTCCCACAGTGACAGAAATGTTGGAAAACATTTTGAAAATCTCCAAGGACTACTGACAAATTCAGCGCAGTCAAACTTGGACGATTCAACCATTGTGGAAGACTGTGTGGTATGTAATAATTATGTGAATGTTGGAAGTTGTTTCATAGCTCAAAAATATCATTACAAATGATTTGTTTAACTTCAAGTACAACACAGCACAGAAAAGAGGACAGAGGCAGTGTGACCAGAAACAATGAAAAATATTAACATGGTTTACATATTTTTATATTACCCCAAGCTCAATGCAATGCAACTAAAGTTATTTGTGGATTGTTTTTTCTAGAATGATATCGGACCTACGCCCTTCAAACAGCATTTTGAGGACTTAATAACCCAAACAGTTATTGAGAAATCTGGTGATGACAACATGTACTTCTGCCCGACTTTCATCCCTTCCTTGCTTAAGTACTTTCTGCCCCTGGCTGGTCTGTGGTCTGGCCTACTCTTGGGTAAGTTTTATTTTGCACGTCTTTCTATAGCTGCTTGTTAATGTAATGTAATATAAAATAATAAGGCATGTTTACTGTTTGGTTAGGTGACCTTGGACGCCATGGAACAGGGACCATTTATCAGAAACGTTCCCAGAAGTACAAAAATGCTGCAAAAAAAACCCACACAGGTACAAAAACCTAAAGCTTTGATGTAATATTGAATTTCAATGCATTATTCTATAATCAATATTATAAACTGCAATGTAAACAGTATGTAATCCAAGTGATTGTTAACAATATAATTTGATGTACCGTAACTAATATGTTCAACCGCAGAATTACACAGAGGACAACAAAACTCAAGGGATAATGGAAAAAAGCAAGTGGGACCTCAAAAAGATCCGTTTTCAACGGAGACGTCTGACCAGGCTGGACGATTTTGTACATACATACAAAGTCACCTTGAGCGCCCTGCTAAGGGAATATGGCGACTCTCTGAGGAGGGGGAAGAAGGTACAGTTTGTTATTTATATATTGCTGTTATGTTATCACATTTGTCCCTAGTCATTAAGCATTGCTATCGATTATGTTAGGAAAATATCACTCGCCACTGGCTTGAGTTTCAATAATCAGGATACATGTATTTATTATCCTTGCAAGAATGGAAGTATTCATCACGTCCAGAGCATTTGGTACAAATAGTTCACAGAGCAGTGTCCTTCACAAGCTTTATATATAAGAGACTTGTAGACAGACTTTTTACACCGTCACAAGATGGAGGAATACCGGTTCAAAGTAGTATACAATGTTTAGTTCAGATTAGCTAAGGCTCACGACAGAAATGATCATGCTTGTCATATGTCTATCTCCATAGAGGCTGAATCATCATGTTAATCACATAGCTATCATATGCCTCAAACAGTCCTGATTCTCTTCTTCACACATCCTGTCATGTACACAGCTACTTAGGGTCTTTGTCATCATGTGCTACTCTGATATTCAAAGAGTACATTCAGTATTTTCTCAACAGTTATTCTGCAGGTAATTTGGTCATTATTAACAGTTATATTAGGTGTGCTAATAATATCACAATAATATTGATACACCAATCAAAACTGTGATGCAACTATGCTGAATGTAGTTGGTTTCATAATTTTGATGAATAATAATTAATGAAATAATACATTTATTTCAGGCAAAGATAATGTTTGTTGTGAAAAGAAAACAACATTGAATAACGTGAAATGGCAGAATATGTAATGAAAGGTAATTTATGAGTGCATTTACCCTGTCAATATTCCTTATTAACTGCAGACCCATCGTGTGGACATGGAGCGATGGAAAAAAAGAAAGCAGAACAGGCGAGGAGTTTATGTGACACCCATAAACAAGCCTTTTGTTTTCAGACAGCACAAGAAGAATGTATGTATTTTTTGAGAGCAAACCATTGTTATCCTGTTTGTTGAAAATAACATAAATGTTATAATATTTGTGTTATTAACACTTTGTTTTTTATCAGCTCATGCAGAAGACAAAAACAGCAAAAGCTCCAGCTCCACTACAAAAACAAGCGCCAGGTGAAACGGAAGCACATATTCCATCACAGGTAATCCCATTTAGCATGGTTAAACAAAGCCAGGAAGCATTTGAAACACATACATCTAAACCAGCTTGGAATCTAAAGCTTAATGTTGCATTTTCTATTAGTATACTGTAGGTAATGATAGAAGAACTGAAGATTCAAATTGTGTGATGAAGTGATTAACTATGACATGCACTTAACAACACATATTGGACAATGTGAAAGGCAATGTTGATGTTTCGGCTTCTATACAGGATCCAAAAGACAAGGCAAGACAAGGTCAATCTTCATCCACATCAGACATGACGGAGCATGCTGAGGATGATGCACAGGGAGGTAAAGTGGATGCTTCATCAGAGGTAAGAAACTGTAAGGACACATCATCAGGGAGTTCATCAGAGGGACCAGATAAAAATAGTAAAATAATTGATTAACTAAAAAGTTAAAATGCAGATTTTAATGTTTAAGGAATACTAAAGGAACGTTATAAAATAATACCTTTCAATTTACAATGTGTATCTCATGCTCTGTTAACAATCTAGCTTTGGGACATACAAATTATATAGTATTTTTTTTGTGACCCCAGCTGACCGCGTTGTGGAAAAAAAAGGACACTGACGTGGTGGTGTCTGTAGTCCCCACTCAAATAAGAGGCAACAGTTTTACCATCCGTCACTCTGACATGCGGACCCTTAGACCACACCAGTGGCTTACAGGCGAGGTATTTCATCCATATCATAGGACAGAACCAGTGCTCATACCAAGTCTCTTCACTACACATTAATCCAATATTCATGTAACGCTAGCTTCATGGCACACCACTGAAGTCTTGTTAGCACCCAAAGCCTAAAATGTATTAAACTGTTTTAAAAAGTGAATCTTAAAAGGGCATCCACAGTTGAATATTTAACTTGTATTGTACACTAGAAGAAGTAGTCAAATGTGGTCATTCACTGTTATAATTTTCTGTTTTTATCAACGAAACTTAACACCTGTCAACTACATTATTATTAATATAATTGTATTTCTTATTAATGTCTGCTTGTCGACATTCTCTCCAGATCATCGAGTGTCTTTTCCATATACATGCACATAAATGTGAACTGGGGACGAGGATTTATATTCTCAACCATTACTCAGCTGGTGTGATCCTCTTTGGAAAAGAGAAGAGGTCAGGAAGCACACTTTGTCAAAGGTAACTTGTGTTTCTATTGAGGATAACTACAAAGGTTTTCATTATGTCTTTGTCTAAATATAAACATACTCTATCAAGCTATTTGACTCTACTGTATAAAGAAAACAAATACAGCCTGATGGGAAATGGAAGTTGTTTTGTTCGTATGTATTACGGATACACTTTGACAGCTATGGAGCCATTGTGTCCTTTGTACATGTTGATGGTGTACACTGGAAATGTCTGGTTAGTAGTGTCTATATCATATAATAGTATATTTCTTGATCAGCTACGTTTTGGGGGTGTTGTATTTATTTCAAATATATATATTTCTTTTTCTGTGTCCACAGTACATCAATGCTGAAGAAAGCACAGTGTATTTGGCAGATCCTGCACGCAACTCTGCAGAGCAGGCAGAGTCAGACAATGCTGCCAACAAATGCAGGTACTAACTGCATCCAATTTCACCTATTTTTCAAAAATATTTATTTCATTCTATTCCCTCATATATAATGTTTATATTTATTGTTATATTTATGTGGGAATAGATGGATCAGCTATATTGCCACAACCAGCCCTTTTTTTTTAATTGATGTACTACTACACCAGAACATATAATGTGTGAAAAATGTGTGCATGTTTGACTTTGGTCCATACCGATTATACCATAAACCACCCAATCCACTGAATAAACAACCTGTCCTTAGGCAAGGCAAGGCAAGTTTATTTATATAGCACTTTTTCACAACACAAGGCAATTCAAAGTGCTTTACAAAAAATGAAGACATTAAGAAAAAGGCATTTAAAATCAGTCATTAAAAAGAAAAGCTAATAAAATAAACATTAAAAGAAAAAATACATGGATAAAAGTTTCAGTGCAGTCTAAGATATGAATAGTTCAATTAAAAGCAGCGACAAAAAGAAAAGTTTTCAGCCTGGATTTAAAAGTAGTCAGAGTTACAGCGGACCTGCAGGTTTCTGGGAGTTTGTTCCAGATATTTGGAGCATAATAACTGAACGCTGATTCTCCATGTTTAGTTCTGACTCTGGGGACCAGAAAGCTGACCAGTCCCTGAAGACCTGAGAGATCTGGATGGTTCATAATTTAGCAGGAGGTCAGAAATGTATTTTGGGCCTAAACCATTCAGTGCTTTATAAACCAGCAGCAGTATTTTGAAATCTATTCTTTGACACACAGGAAGCCAGTGTAAAGACTTCAGAACAGGAGTGATGTGATCCACTTTCTTAGAGTTAGTGAGGACTCGAGCAGCAGCGTTCTGAATCAGCTGCAGCTTCCTAATAGATTTTTTAGTGAGACCCGTGAAGACACCATTGCAGTAGTCGAGTCTACTGAAGATAAAAGCATGGACAAGTTTTTCCAAATCCTGCTGTGACATTAGTCTTTTAATCCTAGATATATTATTTAGGTGATAGTAGGCTGATTAGTAACTGTTTTAATGTGACTGTTGAAACTCAGGTCATAGTCCATGACTACAACTAGATTTCTTGGCTTTATCTGTTGTTTTGAACATTGCAGACTGAAGCTCAGCGCTAACCTTTATACGTTCTGACTTGGCTCCAAAAACCATTACCTCAGTTTTATCTTTGTTTAATTGGAGAAAGTTCTGACACATCCAGTCATTGATTTGTTCAATGCACTTACTCAGTGTTTGAATTGGAGCATAGTCTCCCTGGTGAAATTGTTACGTAAATTTGTGTGTCATCTGCATAGCTATGGTCAGGGGTGCACATAACTGTTTTGCCCTGGTCTCAAAGGAGCACTGGAGATGTTGCTTGGTGCTCATCCTTAAAATGAAATAAACCGTAACTTTTGAGGGGGTCTTGACTTTATTGGCCAGACACACGGCACTGAACACACATGCAGAGGTGAACACAGAACACACATGCAGAGGTGAACCACAAGACAACATTAGCACAAGCAGTAATCCTACAAGCTGTCATCACTACCCTCCTGACTGTTCTCCCTCACTGTCTTCCTCTCTGTCAGACATGGTAGCTGATGATGTCCGGCCTACTACCTTTTCTCTCTGGTTGAGTCTGCGATTAGATGCTTGCATCCACAAGTCAACAGCTGGTTTGGGTCGAAAGTCTCTGTTGTCATCTTAGACAAGTGGATGTAATCAAATAAGTATGTGAACATAACCAATAACCTACCATAGCCAATAACAAATGAATGTAACTTATTTTATTTGTGTTGTTCATTCATATCTTATTTTACCTTAACATTTATTTATGCATTTTTTTTATCTCTCCAGTTTTAAAGGATATTTTTGGTTACTGTCCTATAGTATACATTGGAATTATTTAAAACCTGTTTATCCCAATAATTATTAAGGAGTGCCTTGGAAATATGTGTTTACATAAATTGCGACCAAACCGTTTGAACTTAGACTAAAGTGAACTATCTAAACACTCAAGAGTCCTTACCTCACTGAGCTGTAGTTATCAGTCTGACTGGAGAGGACTCACCCTCCACATTATTGTAACATCTTCTTCTTATATCCGTTAGAGCAGCTAGCACAGCACCAGATTCTAATAACAACAGCGCTGCGTACCGGTGCACCCTCCCTCGCTCACTCGCATTTTGGCTGTGAGCTGCGGGCGCCAGATAAAGCCAACATCCCCCATTTTCATCACTTACAGCGCCCATTGTACAGGGCAAATGAAACGTGTAACCGGGGTGAAAAGGGTGTTACATTTACTTAATTGTGAATTATTGCTACATCAAGGCCGAAAATTAGGATGAGCCCCAACGGTCAAAATGATTTTTCCCTCCCAGAACTGCCAGCGCAGCGCCTCCACAGATCTGGCGCCCTAGGCGAACATCTAGCCAGTGCTACGAGCCGACCCTGAGTTCATATCATGGTTCATACATGTATGCAACTCGCAAATATCTTTCTCTCTCTCTCTCTTCTCTCTCTCTCATCTCTCCTCTCTCCTCTATTTTCTCTTTTCTCTTCTCCCTTCTCTCTCTCCCTCTCTCAATGTTGGTACGCAAATGCGCTTTGTTTCAAATGACCCGGTGCTCTTTTTTTGGCGGAGGTGCGCATGCGCACCTGCGCACCAGTTATGTGCAGCCCTGGCTATGGTAACTTATTTTGTTGTTTTTCATTATCTGAGCCAGTGGAAGCATGTAGATGTTAAAGAGAAGAGGCCCCAAGATGGAGCCTTGAGGAACCCCACATGTCATATTTGTCAACTCAGATGTTATTTACCTATAGAAACAAAGTTGTTTCTGTCCTTTAAGTAGGATTCAAACCAATTTAGAACTGTTTCCGAAAGTCCCACCCAGTTTTCCAGTCGGTCTAGTAATATGTTGTGGTCAACAGTGTCAAACGCAGCACTGAGACCTTAGAGTGAACAATTGTCAATTCATTTTGACATCAGACTAGGTGTCTGCATGTTACATCTTAAAATATACATTTGGGAAACATGCATTAACATCACTTCAAATTGTGTTACTCGACTGCTGAGACACAGTGTGACAAGGATTTATGTTATTATGCGAGTATTGTATTTATACAGTATGCATTGTACATTAATAATATATCTTATCTCACGCAGTGATTACTTCAAAATGAGGAGGACCTGCTGCAGTAAGACAGACTGGGTAGACATAAAATGGAAGAGAGGAGTAATGAAACACCCAGTACAGCAGGATGGCAATAGCTGTGGGGTAGTTGTCTGCATGGTAAGTGGAATATTTATTTTCATATATGCTTTTTGCTAATATAACATTCATTCAGCTTTTAGGATTAAGTCTGTTTTACTGCCTTTCACAAAAACACATTTGGGGTAGTTGGATAGTTATTTTAAGAACATAACATGGTGTATCACTTTAAGATGGCAAAGGAGGTCATGGAAGTCTTTCCTAAAACACCAACAATGGCCTTTGGGACCACAAAAAAGGAGATGTTAAAGAAAAGTGTTGGCCATGGAAATACTGACAGCATCAGGTGCATGCTACTTTTTCAAAATATCAATTCAATTGTGATATTGTTGTACTTGAGATGTAACATTAGCATTTTTTTTTCATCAGTGTTTGACAAAGAAGTCAACTGTGCCATGTGCGCCGGCATAAAACCACCCGGCTCAGTGCCACATCACACCCACACTGACTGGGTAAGGTTTAATGAATATTGAGACTTCAGATATTTCACAATTTAGATTTGTAGAAAAGCATTAAATGAAAGCAGAAACTAAATACAAACACTTGAGGGATGCAGTTGACCATTGCTCAAAGCTGTTATAAGCAGGGCTTTACTCTCATTTGTCTCCACTCCTTCTATTGCAGATTCAGTGTGACAGCTGTTTCCGGTGGTGCCACACACAGTGCCTGCATATGGACCAAAAGTCTCTTGAAGAGGCACAAGTTGGGGACTGGGTTTGCTCTGTGTGACAAATAATGTTTGTGCATGAACATGCGGTTGCTGTATGTCCTATATTAACAAAAAAAAGGCACCAGCTAGGGACTGGGACTCCAGACTTTTCCAAAAAGCAGGGGATGTGGTTGCTGTGAAATAGTTTATATTTATATGCTCAATTTGATATATTTAGAATATATATTTGAGATTTGTTTAACTAAGAAGTGACCGTTGAATAAATATTGCAAAACAAAGCCTATATCACATGGCAGCCAGTGTGAATTGTTTCCTACATTACAAGATTTCGATTTTCTATAGTACAAATCTGGGCC